AGAGAGAGAGAGAGAGAGAGAGAGAGAGAGAGAGAGAGAGAGAGAGAATATGGGATATTGACAAAGAATAGATGCCAGTATCTTAAGTAGATTATACATATATTGTAGAAGAAAATAACTGGATCATCAATTATAGAATAATCTCGAAAAGATTCATTAATTTGAGGAAAAGATGACCAATCGCAAAATATAGCATCAGATATCATAAACCTTTCAAATCAACCTTTTAATCAACGTGAGGATTAAACTTGAAGTTTAATCTTAACATTGAGAGGTTGTTTAAATAATTACCAAAAATATTCTGTACGCATAACAGCTATCCCAAAGTACGAGCTACAGCGGACGATAAAATGTAGGAGCATTCGTAAAAGCCGGTTTTACTTCCACATGCGCTTACGATATAAGATATAGTCGATGTATAATCCCTCTGATATAACACATACATTGAAAAATATATAGCAAGTTCATACACGCGAAACGAACTATATAATTGCGATTTAAAAAATAAAAATGCGTATTCGATAAGAAATTATTTAAAGTGGTCTTAAATTTCCTTGAACGATTGTTCTTCCTTGTCGTTTATATCGTAATTTTTAAGGCTCTTTTACGCAAAGTTAATACTTGAAAGATGATTTTTGACAGTCATAATAATAAACTTTGAATTTTAAAGAGTTGATCGAGATAAAATTTATTTATCACAAAAAAATTTTTTAACTACTAGATTTTATCAATTGCATATTATCAAATGCGCTTCAATAGCACAATTGCATATACCGTGTAGATGGATATACTGCATATATTGCAATCACTTGCAGGAAATCTCATCCGATTGCAATATCCCTTATATTTGCATTATTGTCAATGTGCCAAAACATGAAGTAAGAATTTGATATTTTTTACCAATATGTATACTTTTGAGTTTACTGTTTAATTACTGCGAATTTTTAAATAAATATAGATACTTAAAATATATTTTTCACTACAAAAAATGATGCATAAGCCATGAATTTTATTGTTGCAAATGTTTCAGTACTCGTAAAACTGCAAGAGATTGTGCATATTCTTAGTTTTGATGTAATTCATCGCAAAGTCAATTAATAACGGGTACCAATAGCAAACGAATAACATAACGTATAATTTTCATAAAAAGAAATCAGATGTACAGTTTGCATGTGCGTGGATCCAGTGAAATCGTAACGGTTTACTGCATTTGTGAAGGAGAAACACATACTGGAGACGTTTATAGAAAACCAGCTCCTGTACTCGAATGAAATCAATACATGAAGTGGCTTTCGATTAACAGTGTAATTTCTAAAACAGAACAGAATTGTGTTAAAATATGAGTGTGACCAAGTATATTCAAATCGGTATTAAAATGGGAATTAGCGAATATTAATATAATTACAGCGAGAATGATAATAAGCAAATTTAATGCCAAATA